TTATTTATTTATTAGAGAGCGAGCGAGAGAGAAACAGCATGAGAGAGGAGAGGGTCAGAGGGAGAAGCAGGCTCCCCACTGAGCCGGGAGCCCGACGTAGGACTCGATCCCAGGACCCTGGGATCATGACCTGAGCCGAAGGCAGTCGCTTAACCAACTGAGCCACCCAGGCTCCCGCTACTTTATTCTTCTTAAAGATAGCATTTTGAGGCATCGTGTGGTGATCAGATCATAGTCGTGCTCATTTGGGAGTTGATTTTTTATGTGGTTTTATCATTAAGTGAGCAAAACTTGGGCTGGGTTGAGGATTAACTGATCTGAAATGATTTGTCCTGAAGAGGTGTGACTGTGGTCTCTTTTTCTTCCAGTTGATCATACCAGGGTTGTCCTACACGATGGTGATCCCAATGAGCCTGTTTCAGATTACATCAATGCAAATATTATCATGGTAATCTTTGCTTTCCACAATGTTTTCTGACCATACATTGCTAGCCATTTTTTGTATTTTGTATTTCTTGTGACCTGAAAGCAACTTTCAAGTATTTGAAGGATTTTCTTCCTAAATGTCTAGCCTGAGTTTGAAACCAAATGCAACAATTCAAAGCCCAAAAAAAGTTACATCGCCACACAAGGCTGCCTGCAGAACACGGTGAACGACTTTTGGCGGATGGTATTTCAGGAGAACTCCCGAGTGATCGTCATGACAACGAAGGAGGTGGAGAGAGGAAAGGTACACTCCATGCTCGTCTGATAAAACATTTGTAAAGTATCGGCCGTGTTGGGTTGAACAAGTTAAGAATCGAATAAACAAATTAAGCTTACTCTAACTGACCCTCTGGAGAAAGGGGAGTAAAAGAAGTTTGATTGTGACACGCCTTGGGGTAGTTTTCTTTATGTTCCTTCTGCTTGGGGTTCATTGAGCTTCTTGAATCTGTGGATTTATAGTTTTCTCTAAATTTGGAAATGTTTATTATTTCTGCAAACACAGGACACCAATTACACATATATTAGGCTGCTTGACGTTGTCCTGTGGCTTACTGAGGCTTTGCTCATTTTGTGCCGTTGTCTTTTTTTCCCCCTTGTTTAATTTTGGATAGTTTCTTTTGCTGTGTGTCTTTAAGTTAATCTTTTCTTCTGCAGTGTGTCACCTGCTGTTAGTACTATTTAGTGTGTTTTCCATAGCAGACATTGTCTTTTTCATCTCTAGAAGTTTTATTGTCATTGTTTTTAATGTCTTCTGTGTCTCTCTTTTTAACTTAAGCCTTTTGGACATGTGGAGTATATTTGTAATAACTGTGTTAATGTCCTTGTTATTAATTCTGTTATGTATGTCTTTTCATTCTTCCTGTTTTTTACTTGTTTAAGGTGGGAAGGTAAATCCAGACCCTGTTACTCTATTGTATACAGGAGCAGAGGTCCCCAAGGGAGTGTGAGAAGGCCCATCTGGTTCCTTCAGGGGATTAGAGTACTAACAAATAGTGATTTCCTTGGTCATATAAATTATACTTATCACGACACATAAGCATTTAAACATTACTTTGAATTATTCAAGCAGTATATTCATGTAAATATCCAAACACATTATGGTTATGGTTAAAGTTGCCTTTGTCACTGTCCCTTGTCCACCCATTTAAAATCCCTGTTACCAGTGTGATGCGGTCTTCTTGGCGCGTACATACATACATACACGTATGAGAGGCATTACCGTAGGCGTTACGTACCTGCATTTATGTGTATGCGTGTACTTACATACGTATGTGTGCCTATGGAAGTATATAGTACTGTTTTCTGAAAAATACTGTATGTAAAAGTGTTTTCATACACTAACTTTGTTGTGCATCTTGGGCCCCACCCAAATGAATGTTCTAACACCTACTGTTAGTACATAGTGGCCTATTTCCTTCTTTTTAGTAATTGCATGATGTTCCATAGTAGGGACGTACCATAGGTTATTTCACTGTTATGTATTGAGCATTTATTTTTTTTTATTTTTATTTTTTAAAGATTTTATTTATTTAT